GACCCGCAGCTGGACTCAATATAGCACGCCAGCACCTCGGCCTAACCACACGCAATCTCAAGCTCCATACTCTCTTTTCGGGTGCTTCTTGCTTCCATCAGGCTCGATCACAGGACTGTACAGTACAGAAGCGTTTTTCATAGTTACAAGGCAAGAGCGGGTATGTCGGTTTGCATTGGTGAGGACGCCGAATTAGATAATCGCAAGTGCTTCAACCTCAATTGACTTGATATCATCTCTGACTTGGGCCTCAGCAGCAGAAACAAACATGTCAGCAAGCCAAAGGCATTTAGAAACTTTTGCCTTACACGAAGTGGAGAAGGATTTGGACAAACTCCCTTTGCTTGCTAGAATGCCATCGAACTCATCTTCAGATTCGGATGATTCGATCATAGTCGAACCCGATTTCGACAAAGAAGATGCCGATTTCGGCGAAATGGATGTTGATACAGAGAGCGATACAGACTCCGAACCCGATAAAATTTCTTGGGCGACTGGTATCTTGTTCCAACAAAAGTGTGTACAGTATATTTTAGACCCACCACTCGAGATAGAGATTCCTAAGCCTGTCGAGGTTGCGGTGAGGTCCCAGAGTGCTGGGGAATTACCCCAGAAGGAATTCGTTTCAATTGTTGTTCGCGACCTGAAGACGATTCCCCAGGACTATAAACGACCTTTGTACTGTTCGACCAAAGAAGGGGCAGATACAGCAAAAAAAGAGGAGCCTCAAGTGAGTAAACCTGCACGGACTGCTATGCGTTGTTTAAGAGGCAAATTAAAGCTCTAATATGATTCAATGGAGCCAGTTTGCACAACAAATTCAGCGATCTATAAATCAAAACATATATAGAAGTCCTAATTGGGTCGAATACTTGCCACCGATTAGAAGAAAGCTAAATGCCAATAACTGGAGACTATACATTCCGCAGAAGTCTTCTCCCTTGGCTAGGCATCTAGCCACCATTATGGAGACAGAGGGCCTCTTGGAGCCTACTGCTATTGCCCGGCTGAAGGCCGTTCCACATAGGAAATGCCGCTCTCTAGCACGAAAGGAGAAGAAACCCAAAGAGAAACAAATTTACTCTAATGATGCGGAGAGGAGGTGGACCAAATAAGATCCGAAGACTGAATGACATCATCGGTCCTGTAAACACGTCACCCTTCTGGGACTATTTCCTAGCATGATTCCTACATGTTCAGGAAAACAATCTACATGGCCTGAATATGGCCTATTCTCGTTTCTCATTTCTGGTCTGTCAAGTACTTGCGCTATATAGCAGAGTACTTATCCTCGTCACTTCCATCCAGGATTGGTTTCACATGTGATCTGTGGGCGTTTACCAGCTGGCCCTTTCTTGATATTGAGTTACAATTGTACCTAGTCATCTAGGTAATAAGGGGCTTCTTTTTGCTTCGCTTGTATGATTAAGCTGGTTAGGGTGGTGTTTACGGCCCTTCTTTGTCCAAAAATTTGGAGGTGTCTGAATTTGTCAGGCCTTGAGCCATACTTCTGTAGTTTCTGACTGCGGTATTTTTTTTTTCTTTTTTCAAGTTAACTGTGGGCGCAGAGATTGATTTGGTTGCATAATATACCATGTGCTTTTGAGTCAATTTCCAAGATAAACCTAGCTTGTGAGCAGTGAATGTACAATGTGCTAGGTTACTCAGACTTAAAGGGGGTTACAAATATCGGCACTGTTTGAGACTAGAAACACAACGTGAAGTCCAAATATTTGAGTGCCTGGGAAGTAAAAGCACGCTTTCTACAGAGTCTGACCAGGAAAGGAGAAGTAACAATGCCGGCGGTTATAAAGGTGTTGCTGAAAAGAAAATAGGGTCGAAAAAACAGTCAGCAAGCGGTTACTAGTTTTCTTCTACAGCTTCAAAATCAACTTCATGTAGCACATTGCCTCTCGAGTTGCTCTGTCCTGAGCGGTCCGCTTCGAATTCCTGTCAGATCCTCCTTTAGCTTAGTCTCCCAGCATGGCGGCAGGTCTAAATAGGTGGGGCCATCTCAGAATCCCCTGCCTTCCATTTCAGTGTCGTCCGTAACTGCAAAAAGCGCACGCCCCAATTTCCTCAGTTCAAACTGTTCCATACCGCGAAACCGAGTACCCACCACTTTCTAATAGCTTCCATAATAGTCTTCCCAACAACACTTACTGTGCTGTTGAACTTTCAATCCCAAATATATATGAAAGGTTTTAGCTGCCAACATTTGAGTTTTGATGTGCTGCCTATGCAGTCAAACCACTCACAGATGTCTTTATTTATATACGAGCAACATATCTAGGTGCCTCGCTAACTCTGAATCACAGACCGTCGAAGGGATCGTGTGCATGGTGACTATCGGGTCAATATCTTACTCATGACCTACATTAGCCCGTGCGGACTTTGATACAACTTGATGTACTAGGGCCAGAATAGGGAAGGCAGATGGCCCGGAGTGCTGGCAGTGTTGAATGAAGAGGAGACAACGGCACACATTTGGAGCTGGTGCGAGGTGTGGAGGAGAAGGTGGCTAAGGGGGTTGGATGCAATAAGAAGGCCCCGGGGGGGCAAGGAAGACGAAGAGGACCCACTTGCTGATCTGTTGAGGTGGAGGAGAGATAATGGCGCGCTTTGGATTTGACTTTATGTGTTTTTGCTTTTTGCTTTAGTTTTGTGGCTTGGTATTTATTGTCTCCTTGGTATCTACACTCATCAGGCCCATAGGGCGGTATACGAATAATGTTTTTTTTTTTTTGATGCAAAATATACTAACACCACAACACCAATGAGCTCGAGCGGTAGCACATCAGAATACTGCTACAATAGATATCACGTAACCTCGCTTCCAGCTGTTCGCCATGGCAGGGCAAAGCTGCTTCCATAACCGAGGCCTGATATGGTACCAAGGCACGAGGTGAAACAAATTCTGCTGCTCATACTATGGCTAGACTGATTTTTGATTATGCCTCCCTCGTACCGCATTGAGAAATAGGTTCCAGATTGGCAAGCTAGATTCTTGTTAGTGCATAAGGTGAATTAGAACCTTAATACCCAACGGGCCAACGTTTATTTCTCCAAATCAGCTTCTTATTCCTATTTATATCCTTGCATGCTGTGGTGGTGGTGATGGTATTCTTTCCATATATGTTTCCCAGTATTCAGCCGCTGGATCCTCTTATACGATTCTTGCTCACTACTTGGATCTGATACCTGCTCAGGTAATACTAAAGAGGGCTCCTTCTCTTATAGCATATACATATAATATATGTGTACACATTCGCTTCCTGAAAGCAAAACGTATTTTGATCAGTATCTATCGAATATCTATTATCACTAATAGGCACGGTGACTCTCCGAGGCATCAAGACCTGGTCCAGGAAATATCCTATTAGAGTCGCGAGTTTTTGAGCACAGCACCGACATCCATGATGCCCCGCAGAAAGGGAAAGAATAATCGCAGAAAAGTATCATCGCAGAAGCTTAGAGGGAAGGGAAATGATCTCAGCAGCTCTGATGTTGCCCCTGCAGCTATTCCAAGCTCTAATGTCGAGGTCCCACTACACACGGCTCCAAAGGCCGCGACGGATAGTCCTCACGTTGCTGACAACTGGGAGGATCTTGAGAAGAAATTTGGTGTGTCGGCTCCCAGAAAGGAGACCAAATGGCCTATTGATCCGCGCACTGAAGCCCCTTTCAAATACCGACGAATAATTCTAAAGGTCAATAATGCCCCTTCACCTCAAGTCGAAGCTCCCAGCTCAGAAGAAAAGCCCGCTGCTCCTGTACAGTACACAGAGGGTATGAATCCTAACCAGTCCTCAAAAGCCTCTCCCCGGTCGACCCTTCTGGCGCCCCCCCCATGCTAACGAGATACTTAAACGAACAGCAGGGCCATCCTTACTCCCTGGCCACTTGTTGCCTCCACCGAATTCGAACCTACAGAGCACACTGCAGAACTCTAAAGCTAGCGAGAGCAGTGATGATGACAGCGATTCGCCCATCACAAGTTCAGGAACCGCAACCCCCGAGTTTCCTTCTCCTAAACCGAAAGGTCCTGTGTTCCGTACGGTCTCTTACTATGGGGAAGACGGCAAGTACTACGTTAATAGGAAGGTGGTAGAGCCGGACGATGAAGAATCGTAGGAGTTGGCCTCAGTTAGGCAGTTGCCAAAGATTGTCTAATTCCGGGCCCGGATTTTGCTACTGCAGCAAATCTAATTTGTTCCCTTGCTCCACCTCTTTTTGGTTATAGCTTTGTCGAAGACGGCATCAGTCGTATATGGTGCACGCAATCTCTCTTTTGAATATTCTTACCAAATTTAAGGCTCGTGTCATCCACGTGCAGTCTACAAGAGTATGGATCCTAGGGAAAAGATGGGATTTTTCTCTAACAGAAGGACATAATTGGATACTATAAGAATTGGATTGGATTTTGGTTTACATTTTGAGTTCACTGTCTCTCTTCTAGTTTAGACGAACTGGATGACTGCATGGAAGAGCGAGGTTAAGTGCCAACAACAATAAAGGGAAGAAAGAATGTAAAGGAAAACGTACTCGGAGTACAAAAAGAAAAGAAATCAATAACGAAACATTCTTCTCTGCTTCTGTTTCTTGTCTTTTCTTTACTGTATATTTTTATTCGGTACTTTTTCGCATTATCTATGAAATCCTCTTAAATATATCTACGTCCGTTCAACTACACATAATGAGCTCAGCTTCGCCAGTTAGGTTGTTGGTTATTGGCTTTTTCTATCAATTTGGACCGTAGGGGATATTTAAAACAAAAATTATCAATCCGGAATGTCAAATAGGCTTTTTATCATCTAACCCGGAGAGTTTATTTCTCTACTCCCACACCAATATTCCCGACCTGCTGCTGCGCATTCAACATTAATTGTGCATGCAACCAGACTAAATTGTGCACTCAACTCGTAGAAGCAAAAATAGTGTTACCAAAACTTGCCAGAAGTATATATAAATACGTAAAAAAAAGATATATGAAAATAAAGCGGTTCTAGGAAGGCTCGAACTTCCAACCTCCCGGTCCCCTAATGAACTCACCAAAGCTCCAGCATCAACTGTTGCTGAAATCAGGCTCGCTCTGTTAACAGCCGGACGCGCTAACCAATTGCGCCATAGAACCTTGGACGTGGATGTTGGATGGTAAGGGATTTGAACCCTTGCATCTCTCGATAGCAGTGTTCAAATACACAATCACTATTGGTACTTAAAACTGCCGCCATAACCACTCGGCCAACCATCCTTTAATTGAAAGAAGTTAAATTGAACAACATAACAGAGTGCCATGACTTAGTTGGGAGGGTTGGTGTTCGACTTAGTGATAGTTTCGGTACTCGAGTCGGTGCCTAGATTAGCTTAGTGCAGCGGAGTAGTACGAAAAAACCTGAGCAGCGAGTGACATGAGCAGTGAAGGGAATGGTAGTAACAGTTAGGTATTATGTAGCTGTTGCCTGAGTTACTAGTACTTTAGTTACTAAAGAGTTGAGAATAATTCTGCCAATTCTAAAATCACTGGTCAAAAATCTTGGTGACGTCACTTTTCTTGGCACCTCAAATACTTGCTTGTGTTCTGGCCTACCGACGAACATTGCGGTTCGCTGGTGGGCTGGCCGATTTGGGAATGGGCCGCGAACAATTATTTTTACAAGTACTACTAGGTACCTCTATGTGCTGCTAGTAATGAGTATAGAGAAACATTACAGAGAAACGTTGGATAATTGATAAGCCAGTTACTTTGTGCTTGCACAGCCCCTTGCAACCTACAGGTTGCAACATGCAAGTTGCCACATGCTAGAAGATAATAAAGAAAACATAATTAAAAATTTACTGCGCTTCTAAGACTGCTGTAGTTAAGAATATAGATTTGTTATCATGGCTAAATTATTATTAATAGAATAACTATAAGATAATTAGTGACTTCTAGTATTTTTCTTGCTCTAGGTGAAATTCTGGAGTGTTATCTTCTTAGGTAGAGATATCCGGATTCCTCCGCCATTTCTAGTATATCTTGGGTAGTAATAAGGATTGCGTGGTACTTAATAGATTCCCTGCAAGCGCCAAGCTTCCACTTCAAGCAAGTTGGTGCTCTATTCCACTCGTACTGGCAGGATTTCAGCACTAATCTCACTCTCGTTGGTATTGAATCTGCCCGGGCTCTGGGTATACTTTGCTCCTCTAGGTATATCACAACTGAGCTGGAGATTTTCTCCTCAACCCTCTCTATTACCTATCTAAGGCCCAATTCATTACTCATGTACTGGCCCACCGACGAACATTGTGGTTCGCAAAACTGGGCATATAGGTACATAGAGGTACATTCATGTTCGCCGCTAGGCCAGGTGTTCGTGGCTGCGCTGGCCGGTTCACGAACCGGAGAATGTTCGTCGGTGGGCCAGAACACTTTACACAACTTCAAATGTTCATGTCTTCACAATTTATAGACCCATGTATATGGTATGGTATATCACATGAAGCACTCTTAAAAATAGTGGCAGTTAATGACATGGACCAATAAAACAGGAGCAGATAAGCATTTTTTACCTAGAATCACTCTGCATAATAGTATGGTTGCGGGATTTCCGGGGCGCAAGGGCCTCAGGGCCTGGAGACACAAGATAGGCAAAGAAGATAGCCCAGAGCGCAGGTGGCGTGGGGAGGGCGAAGAGACGGCGGATCACATCTGGAACAGGTGCAGAGTATGGAGACGGAAGTGGCCAGGGCAGGCAGACGTGGTGAGAGATCCACCGAAGGCGAAGGAGGGCGAGAGGGACCCCTTGGCCGAGATGCTGGGGCGGGCGGGACGATGACTTTCTTTCCTTATCTCTAAGATCCTCTACGTTATCGGGGTTGGAAGGGCAAGGAAGAGGCGGAGCAATTTTCCCCTATAAATCATTTTTCCTTAAGTCTCCTTTGTAGTTAACCTCGTCATAGCCTACAGGGCGACATGCGAGTAATGATATGTATATAAAAAAATAGTATGCAAGGAAAATTTTTTAGGGCTAACAAATTTCACTATAAAAATACATATTGAATCCCTCTTATTTCATACTTTTTATATTTTTTACGTTGCGTTGTAAATTCCGTGTAGAGCTATTTGTTTGCAGACGCCAATACTGTTCTTAATCTCAAAATGGCAATTTTGTATGGGAATTTGGCAATCTTCGCATTCTTCGAAGTTTGTGATTTTATCTCAGCAGCCACATGATTTGACCACCTGTTCCACGACCAGAACCATGAAATTTCAGGTAGTATTTAATATAAAAAAAAACTTGATTGTCTATCTAGTTGTAGTACTCAAGATACATAGCATTCCATCCCATGGCGAGCGTCCGTAGGGGAGCCGGCGGAGGGCTACTCCTGTTAGGAGTAATGATCGAGCACCCTGAGAGGTGGAATAGTACTTACTTAGAAGAGAGGATCCGGACCAGTATGGAAAGTTACTATACCTACTTCTGAAGCTACGAAAGGCATGATCCTAGTGAGATACGACAAGGTAATAAGGAAGTATATGAGCTTGGCAGGGGAATATGCCACAACCAGTCTGAAAAATATGTATATCCGCGGGCGACTAAACTGCATAGGAAATAACTGGTATGCAGCCTTCACTAACTTTGGCTCCGGACACTGAACTATACGCGGAGTGGTCAATAGCCATCAGCATTTCTATCAGATTCCACAGCTAGGCTTCGGCAGAGAAAATCCTCTACAGTGATTTTTTCAAACTTGATTCGAAGAAATTCTGCTTGGGGGGTTGGCACTGGGTCCCCTTTCCGCGTTTTTGGATTGGGAAGTGGTGGACTTTGTTCGGCTTTTTGGTGGTGTTGCTGGAGGTCAGTTAGATTTCTGTGTAGGGGGTGTATTTGGTGGAATGTGCTGTGAAACGATTGCTGCATAGGACAGCGGAGATGGAGTTTCTGGTTCAGTTTGTGTTTTTCCTTCCTTGGAGACCTGAAGCCTGTACTCTCTGTGGATATCTGCAGTATCTACTTCGAGTGCGAGCTTGGCAATATGCACATGTGTGCTTTGTACTTGGTCGAAGTTTGGTCATGTCCTTTGGTCTTCTATACATTCATGGACGTGTTTTAAGACATCTGCTACTGCGTCCAGCATACCAGTCTGATTGACTCCACTGAGTCTTTCGCTGATAGACTTGAGTAGTGAGGCCTCGAGACAGGTACTTGACAGGAATTGGTTTGGAACTTGTACGGGGGTCTGGCGAACCTCCTTTAACATAGAGTTCCTCCGCCATTGTATGTTGCGGTGCAGGGCTACCTAATACTATGAATCTATTGGTCTAATCTATGTTGAGAATGCTTAGAAGTTAGGATGCTATGCTGGCAACGAAGTGGCGAACAGAAAATTTCCTTAAAACTTTACTCCAAGGGGAAACTTGAGGAGTCAGGTATTTTGGAATGAAAATCAGATTGAAATCGCTCAGTGCGCTCGAAAGACTCAGCGCACTAGTGCTTTCAATCTATGTAGGTTTCGCTGGGGGGAGCGTTGTGCTTGTGGAGTAGCTGCCAAGCGCTCGTCATATGGAAGTGGTTGTCGCTGTATGTGGGGGGAGGGGGTGTTACGGAGCCTACGATGATGTAGCAAAAGTGAGGGTGTAACTTAGGACAACGCTTGAAGCTTGACCATCTCTCGAGGGCAGAAGGCCCTCGTTATATAACCAGGTCCCCGCGCACGTCCACTGTCTGTTCTATTGCTTATGCTATCTATGCTTAACAATTGATATCAACCCCTAACAATCAATAACAACGTCTGAGGCTGTGCACAACAAGCCTACGCGTACTCTTGCCACTCAGTGGCGCAACTCACTCAACCATGCGCTCTGCTTGTGATACACTTCCGTGACCCGACCTGTCAATTGTATTGCCCTGCTGTAGCTATCGGTTGATCAGGCCGAATGGTCACTAGCAGCCTTACGGGTCAACTCAGGTGGATATCCCCAGCATCTCTGGGTAGGCCTGTGACAAGGGGGTGGGGGGACTCCAGCTATCGGTCGCTTATAGAAATCGTTTCATATAACGAATATATACTACGACATAGTATAACTGCACCGTATTACAGGATTTCCTCGCCGAACGTGATTCTAGAAACGCTGGTCAATGAGACAGGCTTAGGAGCATCGCTCAATTGACTCGTGTCCTTTTACCAATAGTATATTGACTGCTTTGATGGCACTCCTCCTTACACCAGTAGTAGTACCTTATACAGACAAACCTGTCATATTGCATAAACCTTGTCGGCCCGAATTTGGTGCTGTGGGATTATTGGATATTTTCATTTATTGGGGATGGATAACGATTTCGCCGGCCGCTTTCCTGGATTTACTAGTAACTGGACCTGTCATATTGGATAGTGCCAATGCTAATAAGGATCATAATGCTTAGTGATAGAATTTTCATTTCGGTATCCTAATTGGGCAAACAGATGGTGTTATTTATCCTAGTCATGCTTCTGTAGTGTTTATCTTAGTTGTGCTTCTGTCTCTTTGGTATATTTGTAGTTGAGAGTACTACTATGGTATGCCAATCGCCCTGCCATAGCGAATAGCGATAAGCAGGGTTACGTGAAAAAAATGGCATGCCTATCATTTAATGGATTCCTATTGCCCAGAACTGGCAAACCCAGAAGACTTAGACCTAATAGATCAGGATGAGCTTGATGAAGGTGAATTCGAGGAACTAGAGCCAGTCTCACTCACTGAAGCAAATAATACATTGCTAACATTCAAGTGCTTTGTTCAGCAGAATCCAGCCATGAGAGGTACAGCGCAGGAGGATGAACAAGCAGCACTCGCACTTCAGTAGCTTGAAAAGAACATGACTCTGTTGTGATTGAAGTGTCGTTTCTAAACAGGCCTCTATTACCTCTCATTTTGCTCCTGTATGGTCTCTTATTCATGTAGGTATCTATTATTGCATGTATTTACGTCAAAAATTGATTTCCTGTTCTCGTGCCCAGACTCTTGATCTCCCAATTCCAACCTGTCATACTGGATAACTTGTGTATTGCATAAGATTTCCCGGCCGGAGCCTTATCCAATGACAGGGTTGTCTGTACAGTATATGTCAGGGTCTACCCGCGAAGGGGATATCCACCCACATTGGCCTGTGAAGCTACTAGCGACAATTCGGCCTGATCAACCGATAGCTGCAGTCTGGCAATGAAACATGGGTCGGGCACGGATGTGTATCACAAGGAATGCCGGCATGGTCAAAGCGTAGCGACAGCCACCGGACGGACCTCTAGGAGCAAAGCCACCGAATGGACCTCCAGGAGCAGAGCCACTGAACGGACCTCCAGGAGCAGAGCCACCGGATGGACCTCTAGATGAGGCGAGGCAGTGGCTGAGGAATGCCTATAGATAGAACATCGTGATATCATAGCATAGAGAGACAATAGAAGGAAGGCACGCCGGGTTGACTATAAGAAGGGCCAGCTAGGCTGCCCTGTCGAAAGGTCAAGCACCAAGCGTTGTCCTAAGTTACACCCTCATATTTACTACATTATCGTAGAAACCGTAACAGTATAGTTATAGCCGGACTTGTTTTTTGGTAGTTAAAGAACATGGTTTCATATAATTCCGTAATCTCTTACGAGCCAATTTCGACGGTATCTATGCCCGATTCTGTGCACAACTTCATAGCTCCAATACAGAAACCAGAATATTGCAATATTGCCCTAGTATACAAACATGCGTAGTATGTCTATTTGCCCCTCTTCTGTATTCCCTAGCCAGCATGTAGTCCGATTCCATCATGAGCGAAGGCGCAGCAAATTTACCTAACCGACATGGTGATGGAGTGTGATGGCTTCTGACTTGGTGCAGCGAAAGTGCTGGCAGTCGATATTGACCTTGCTATGTGCAGTTTATGCATGGATTATCAGTCCCACATTTGCGCCCCTCAAAGCTTCGGAACTAGGGGTAGCGCATTTGCTACTCCGTATTTGGAGCTTTATTCGCAACTTTGTTAACACTTAGCCTCATCTCCCGGCGTTGTATGGTTAGTACGGTCAGTCTCGATAGTACAGCCATGACAGAAGGGAAACTAGGCAAAGTGCCTAACATCTGACAAAGTAAGTTAGCCTATCACCAACAAGCTTCACCCAACCAGACTTAGCAAGAAGCCAGCTATCTACAAGTTTCATAGTGCGTGAAAAAATAATAACAACAATAGCACATTTAGACTGCTCATTTCTTCAAGCACCCCACCGTCAATCATCACCAGGCCTCTCCTCCGTGCTATCTCAATGGTCAAACGTCAAAGATAGGGTCATAAAAGAAGAGCAGTCAATTGTATTGTCAGTGAATCTGGTCTGTCTGGTCTCTCTCTACTATGTATTCCGACAACTGTGCACTCCGCCAAGAACTGACGTCCCAACCTACCGAATTCGGGCTTATCGGCCCCCAATTTTTTTGAGACCCCTTGTCTCCAGTCACCCTTGCTAATATTGTAAAGCCCCAAGAAAAATGTTGCTACTCGTTTTCATACTTATAAAGAAAAGTGTTTCCACTGTGCTTCGCTAAATTAACAACTCTGAAGAATATCTACCTAGCCCCGCCTTTTGCTTCTCGATTGGCATTTGAGACCTGCCTCATAATTATGGAGGCTATTGCGTTGAGCGAGCCTTCGCAGCAGCTGCAACTTATCAGCTTTGTTTACTCGCAGCTCTTGTTGGATTTGGTTTTGCGTTGTGATGTGTTTCTTATTACTAAATATTTGAGTCGACGCGTTTCATTTCAATCTGCGTATATACTGCTTCATCTTGCTCTCGTATTCAAATTTATTTTAGCATTGCTACATGTAATGACGGCTAAGCCGAGTCGAGTTACCGAAAGACGAACAGCCGACTTAGCAGCAGCCGAGCGATGAGTTGACATAGCGATGTCTCAGTGCAGGAAGTGATTAGATGCGCACTAACATATGCATAGGGATCGTCCCAATGGATCGAACGGGCTGATTGTCACCATGTGTTGACCATCCTAGTAGTCTTCTCTCATGTTCTCTCTTGTTCATCGTGCTAGTGAAGAGTGTGTGTGTGTGTGTGTGTGTGTGTGAGTGTGTGTGTTTGTCGGTTTAACCATCATTTTAGTGTTATTCTCTTCGTCTACAAATATCTGTTCATTCTCCCACCTGTAGATGGCTCGTCGCCATGCAACTCATGTAAGAAGGGGATATATATGTACTTTAGTGTAATACAGTCGCTCTCTCTTATTTGCAGCCTTCCTCTATTGTAGAAGTGGCTAGTACCTACAAACCGAGATGAGATTTTTACCTCGCCATAGCCCTTAGGGCGGCATGCGAGTGATGATATTAAAAAAAAAAAATACGAACCGAAACCGGTATGCCTAACCGGCAGACCGTTCCTCGCCCTTGCTGTCCCTGCCATAGGCTGGTAGCCTGTATGCGCGGTTACGTGACCCCCCCCCCCCCCAAAAAAAAAAAAAAAAAAAAAAAAAAAAAAAAAAAAACCCCTTTACTCCCTTACACTACAAGAATCTCTGCACGAGGAATATCCTTCTGCATAGGACCCAACTCACACACAGCAAAATGATAAAGACCGCTTTTGGTTTCATGTTGTTGTGTCAAATAGTTATGAGATTACCAAATTGCCCTCATGGCGAATGGCCGGAGCAAAATCACGTCCAGAGGGGCAAGGACATTATTATCATTCAGAAAATTGATCGAGTGCTGTAAGAGGGGAGCGAAAGTGTCCACTATCCTCAGAGTGGCCGGAAGGTTGAGAACTGGCGGAATACACACACAAGGCTTGTATTCACATGTTGAATAGCGAATGCGAACCGTGGATGCGAAGTGTAGTATTGCAAGCGCACCGAAAAGATTGCTTATCCTAATTACAGAACAAACATGCTACTTTAATCTACATATTAACAAAGGAAGCAAAGAAAGTAATACCTCGAATCACAAAGTAAAGAAAGATTCTATGTCAAAGAATTCTAATAATGAAAGAAGTCCAAATAATCAAAGAAGAATAATTAAAGAAGCCATAGAAAGATCCATCCTTTATGCCATAGGACAACCGGGCATCACAAGGCTTGGCCTATTCCGGTGCAATACCAATTCTTTCAGCTTCCCCACAGTGCGACGATAAATATTCAAGTTCTCGCACCGCCAGGCCATTAAATTCAATGGCATCTCAGCTTTCAACTTTGCATAACGTGCTTAATTAGAGATATGTTGATGACAACCGAGTAACATCTCACTTGCAATCATACATAGCACTTGGTCATCCCAGAAGCGATAAAACATTCTCTAAATTTAAACCCAACCAGCCGCCATGAACGTGCCTCCAGTGCCCGAACAAACATTATGACCCAATAACCACGTGAGCTGAATCAAGCTAGCTCCATCATATCACCTGAGGATGGATGGCCGAGTGGTTAAGGCGCTGTGTTCAGGATTCTTAAGTCATCATGGTTATGCAGAATCCCTGGGAATCGCAGTGGGAAACCGCGTGGGTTCGAATCCCACTCCATTCAAGATATGTTAGACTTTTTTTACTGCCATGAGACACATCACATACTCGGTTGTGGATCGGGGTGAGAGATAGGGAATCTACTCCATGTAGCGGTCAGAGCGATGATACGCAGCTTTGCGACGTTTTTTTTTTGTTAAATAAACATTACTCACATGCCGCCCTGTACAGTATGTGTTTTTTTTAGCTTTGCGACTGTGCACTCACTGGATTCCAAAGTTTGTGGGCATCCAGGCTGGTTGCAACCGCGATGGAGTTTCTTCGATTTACCCTCATGCTTCCAAGAGCAGGCACGACCAGTGTTCCCAACGGGCCGGCCAGGCCAGTCCAGAACAAAGAGTGAAATAATATAGCTATGTACATGAGAGAATAATAGGTGGTGGGATACATATATGCGGTATGTGAAAGAATAATGGGTAGCGAAATAACTACACCTGAAAAGAATGAGAGGTGGTGAATTAAACACGCGTTCACGCGATATGTGAATTTTATTTGATCAGACATCGTTGAAGTGGTTGCAGCTGGTTCAGAGTTCGAAGCAGGAAGCAGAAAGCAGAGATGGGAAGCGCGGGGTGGAGCCACAAACCCAGGACATCAGCTGTGGGGGGTCATGTATGCAGCAAGTACTCGCTGATTCGGAAAGTATTGGAACGCTGCATAAAGCGTATGCATTATTCGCCCGTATGCACTATTCGCCCGTATGCACTATTCGCCCGTATGCACTATTCGCCTTCTGAAATGTTGCATATTTTTATGCAGCGTTCCAATACTTTCCGAGCCAGCGAGTATAACCAGAATACAACATGTATGCCGGCTTGTACAAGTACTTACTTAATAGCGGTATTCGGATTAGACTGTCCCCATATAAAAATGGAATCTGGCGGACAAACCAGTTTGTCCGGTCTGTAGTCTGCGTACCGCTTGTGGAAACCGGATTTTTTGTCAAATCGGAAACCAGTTTTGGGTCCAAAAATCCACCAGAATTATGCATGCCAGGTGCTAAATACTGCATCGAAGTCTGCAAGATGCATCATATATTTGCAGTTGTTGCAAAATTATGACTGGATTTATTTCGCAAAAAAACGCGAAATAAACTGGTTTAACTTGCGGTATTCAGATTAGAGAAATCTGTCCAGATTTTCCGGATTTCAGAATTTTATCAATTCCAGAAAATCCGGTCATCTCCATACAAAATTTTATCTGGGATTTTCATGTTATAAACCAGTTAAACTGGTTTTTTTTCGTGAAATAAATCCAGGCGGATTTTCGCAACAACTGCATATATATGATGCATCTTGCAGGCCTCGATGCAGTATTCAGGACCTGGCATGCATAAAATTCTGGTAGATTTTTGGACCAAAAACAAGAGGGTACTCAGACTACAGACCGGATAAACTGGTTTGTCCGCCGGATTCCATTTTATGGGGACAGTCTAATCTGAATACCGCTATTAATTATATCATCAGATATGCTTATGTGCCGGGCCATTCGTAACAACGTTCCAGCGGCCACGGCCCAGACTATTGAACGGAACACTGGTTCATGATCACACACTAGTACAATAGCGGTATTCAGATTAGACTGTCCCCATACAAAATGGAATCCGGCGGACAAACCAGTTTATCCGGTCTGTACTCTGAGTACCCACTTGTGAAAATCGGATTTTTTTGTCAAATCCGAAACCGGTTTTGGGTCCAAAAATCCACTGAAATTTATGCATCTCAAGCGGTATGTAATGCAAGCTTAATGTCATGTGATGTACATAGCTCGCGAATGTCCATGCATATTATGCTGCCAAGAGTCTTAATCATTACTAAGTCAAGTAAGTTCCAGCAGGGTCTGATCACGGTCCTCACCATTGCAGTCCTCACCATTCCTCACCATTGCTTTGACAAATACCTAAGGTATCTCATTCTTTTGTCTATGCTGATATATAAGTGTTACTCACTGAATTTAGGAGTTATGAAATGGGTCGAAACTCCAAGAGCAAGGACAAAGAGCTAGAAGTGGGGGGCGGTGAGGCTGAAAGTGACACAATTAAGCGGGCCGGAAGTCTTGATACAGCCCTTGCATATAAAATGAAAGACAAGTACTTCAGTCAGTTCAAAAGTGGAAATAAATTAGCTGTTGCAAGGGACTGGAGTCGAGAGCTCGGTATTGCAGAGAAAGATCGAAATGGAGAAAAGACCAAGGCACATGTTCAACAGATGTTAGCAAAGTACAAAGCAGCAAAAGAGATGCAAGCTGGAACTGGCTTTGGTGCTATCGAAAAGATAATGAAGAAAGCTGGAAAGATTACAACTGTAACTGTGACAGCAGAGGACCAGCTGAGGCAGAAGTGCCCAACCTTTTTTATTCTTGATTCCTTTATGGGTGAGCGGTTTGGAGAAGTCTTTGGAGGAGGTATAGGTATCTTAGAAGGGGGTATTTCACAAGAGTTGCTACTCCAGGATGATAATTTCGGTCTCACACAAATTGATCCTAAATTGAATAGCAGTTCAGGCTCAACTTCAACTTCAAGCTCAACTTCAACTTCAAGCTCAACTTCAACTTCAAGCTCAACTTCAACTTCAAGCTCAACTTCAAGCTCAACTTCAAGCTCAACTTCAACTTCAAGCTCAGGTTCCATGTTCCTCGAAGGTGATGATAGTGACACTGGTTGCTCGAGTGTTATGGAGGAAAGCCAACTTGATGCTATGGAATCTCAAAGACTCTTTGATGAGTTAAATAATGAAGAGGACCTAGATATTCAGATCACTAGAACTGCCTTCGTGAACGATGGGTCTCCCTTTTACACAAACACTAAAACTGTTATCAAATCAGAGCCTGAAGATCAAGAGATTCCGAAATCTTCTCAAAAACGAAACCGTGATGTTGTATCCTCCACACCAAGCAACAGACTCGGAATCAAGTTGAGTAATACTATTTCGAAAAAATCAAGAGAAAAGTCAGATTCCACTGGCAAGAGAGCAGAATCAGGTAAAGAGGATACAGATGATGATGATATTGATTCTAAGGAATCGAAAAAACGCCTTAAACCTGAAGCTTCCTCTGGGAAAGGATTCGGACGTCGAGCTAAAGGAAAGAGCTCAGGGAGTATAGACTTCAACTCTATCACATCTTTAATGTTTGAGAATGTTCAGATAAAGGCTGAGAGGAATAAGATTGATATGTTACGATATCAAGCTCGAATAGCTCAACAAACCAGTCTAATGCGAAGTCAGGAGCATGAAAGAAAAGTTGAACTTGACCTTTTTGTTCTGCGCACAGAACTACAACAGAATGTTCGTATGTTGGTGGCTGTTAAAATACTAGAAGGTTCGAAATTGTAATTCTCTAAATCATTTGTTTATTTTTTTGTTTATTTACTCAAGTATTTAAACTTGATATTTTTCCATGCTGTCGGTATTTTGAATGTATTCTACATATATCGCATTCTGTTCCAAACACTTCTCTAGCATACAACACCAAGCCTATCTTATTTACCTAAACTGGTAATTACTTTTCAGCCTCATTCCTTAACAATCTTTACCTATGGAGCCTTTTACACCCAAAATTCGCCATCAATTCGAGCTATATATTCAATCTCGGGACCACACAAACAGATATCGAATGGAACCTCAGAAGACAAAGGATCAGACCATACTAGATGTGTTAATAATGCTTTAGCAAGAGGTTCAGAAGGGGGCCTTTAATGTAGCTGTTTTTTCCTGTCGCCGGAGGGGTCCTTTATGAAGCTGTTTTTTTTTTTCGCCGAAGGGCTCTGTTTTTCCTGTTGCCGGAGGGGGTCATTCATGAAGCTGTAATATTTTTTTGCCCTGTCGCCGGAGGGGTCCTTGATGAAGCTCATTTTTCCTGTCGCTGGAGGGGTCCTTGGTAGAGCTTTTTTTTTGCTGTCGGAGGAGTTCTTTGTTGGAGCTGTTTTTCCTGTCGCTGGAGGGGTCCTTGGTAGAGTTGTTTTTTCCTGTGGCCTGGAGGGGTCTTTAGTGACGCTGTTTTTTTTAAACAGTGGATGTGTGGACACGCGAGTGTGTGTGTGAGTCTGAGAGGGTAAATTGTAGGTAGAATAAGAAAATTCAAATTCTGAGTGGCCCGGGCCAATCACTAACCAGCGAGTAGTCCGGGCTAGTGGCCACTGGAACGTTTGTTACGAATGGCCCGGCACACTTACATATACTTTGTCTCCATATCCTGCATATATAAGATTTACATATGTACTCTCAAAATCGCCCTAGGTTTCATAAACTAGCAATACTATACACGCTGCATCATTTGGCCTCGCAGCAAGCCTTGAAAGCAACTATGTTGTTCTCGTGCCTAGACTCTGATGGCACGCTTGATTACAAGAGAGTCTGGGCACGAGAACAAAAGCAACTATAGAATCGTTCTTCGTTTTTCTACAGAGCTAGCAACATAGATTATCAGCATAGCACTCAATCATCAACTGTTAAAGTGCTCCCAAGCTGACAGCCACGAACCAGACGCTCTTGGATCTACTCACATGCCGCAATCGGACAACCCTAGCCAAAAAAAAGGCTATCACTGGAAAGTGAGCTCGAGGCTGAGGGGCGCAGCGATGCCCAGTGTTCAAACGGTCGCACTCCTGGTTTGAACTCGATAGTCATACATCGCTTCTTAACGAGCTGAAAGTCTCTCTGCCGCCTGATGGCCGGAAAGCAATTAAACAGGGACTTCCACCACTAGATGACACTCCGCTACTCTATGCCTGCTCAGCCGCCTTTTGTTTCGTCAACCTTTCCAATTATTACACCAGCGGTCCTTCAACTTCACTGAGAACGACTTAGGCGCTCTCATTGAAACTTGGTGGCTTCTAATACCAATGAGCAGATAGTGCCAGGGCTTTTCTAAGATTACCCCAATGCAGAGACTGTGTTTATTCAGTGTGTAGTGGTCAAGGTCCCGCACAAGGAATCAAGGATGCATAATGACAGCTTGTGAAAACTGCACCTATGCAAATAACGTTGGTTTGTGAGCCTTGATGCA